GTTTCTGAGTAAATCAGTAAAATAAATTTACGCATTGATTAATTTTTTTGAGTCACCCTGTATATGCAAATCCAAAAAATATGAATGGAGTGATAGATCACAAGTACAGACTCATCATATTTTGTACATTTTAGATATGATTTATTCCACAAACTTTTGAGCTGACGTCATCAAGTTTTTGGAGGGGATAAGCAAATATTTTTTGACTAAAGATTTATGATGCTCTTTATAGCCTTAAAACATCTGCAACATTTCAAAGCATTCTGGTTAGCAGATTAAAAATTAAATTTCAAAATGTTGTTTTATAATTTTGATTTTTTTTCCAAAAATCTGGACGTTTTGGGTGAAAAGTCGATTCAGAGTTGTAAACTACATGTGTAGGACTATGTTATTTTATACAATTGAAAACCCATTTACTATGTACAATTTTGAAGTGACGTCATCGCATTAGTGGTGGGGATGATTAGACAAATTTTGGTTAGCGTTTTACCATCTACATGATATTCTTAATATAAGTACAAAATTTCACAACAATCGGTCGAGTACTTTCGGAGATTATCTGTCTAATAAAAATCCGGGACGGCAGACGGACAGACGGACAGACGGACAGACGGACAGACGGACAGACGGACGGACAGACGGACAGACGGACAGACAGACGGAAATGGGAGACCTATTTCTTCGTCTTCTAGGGGTCATGAAAGATCGAGAAAACTTAAAAGTAGAGAGTCGGCCGACGGACTCGATTACAATACTTCCTTTGCTTACGCTCGAGAAGTAAAAATTGTGTTTATTACTTGATAGTCATGTCCCGAAAACTCACCGTCGTCGTAATTCTTCTTACCCTGCTTGGTTTACGATGGACGTTATTAAAATGGTTAATCTCAAATGGACACTTTGGACCAAATATAAATCGAATAAGACCGAGACTTACCTCCTAAACTTTAGATCCGTACGTAGGGAGTTAAAGGGGCTTATTAAGAGGGCATATAACAATTATTCACTAAATCTAGAATTAAATATCAAATCGGATCCTAAGAAATTTTGGGCGCATATAAATAATCTTAAGAAATCTTATTCTTATTCCCTCCAAAATCCGTCTGACATTGTTGAAGCCTTCGGTAGGCACTTTAGTGCTAGCTTCTCTCAGTCTCATCTTCATACTGATGACTTTCAGAAATGTGTTGATGAGTCCTTTAATACGTCCTTCCATATCTCCTCTGTTAGTGAGTCGGAAGTACTTGATGCCTTAAAGAAAATCAAATCGAACTTAACTTCTGGGTATGAAAACATTCCTGGCTTCTTACTATTAGACTGTGCCCATATTTTTACCTATCCTCTAACAATCATATTTATTTTAATATTAAACAAAGTTTTGGATATATCTTACATAAAATTCTCGCATTTTATCTACATCACTACTCAATATCGGAATCACAGCACGGATTTTTAAGTGGCCGTTCTACGGTAACAAATTTATGTTGTTTCACTCAGTATGTTTCGAATAGTTTCGACAATAAGGAACAAGTTGACGTAAGCTTTACAGATTTTTCCGAAGCGTTTGACAGGCTTAACCATGACATTCTGCTGATGAAGCTTTATAATTACGGTTTATCTCGTCACTTAATAAAATTAGTTCAATCGTATTTGTCACCTAGATTTCAATGCGTTAAATACCATGGATTTGAATCTGGTAAATTCCCCGTTTATTCAGGTGTTCCCCAAGGCTCAGTCTTAGGTCCATTTTTCTTCGTAATTTTTATTGATGATATTATTAAGAACTTAAATTCTTAGGTAGGGGAAAGGTGCCTAAAATGATCCCCCTAAGGGAGAAATTCTTTAAAAAATACAAATTATTATTATTCATGTAAAACTGTAGCATTATTTGTAAGAACATTGATTTATCTAGGTGACAGTATAAGCCAATTGGTGATTCGATAATTATAAAAAAAGTTATTAACGTTTTTCCAGGACCTTACAAAAGGATCATTTTAGGCATCCCCATAGGTAAAATGATCCCTCGGCATGGGCATAATGATCCCTTTGAATTTTGACCATAAGGGTACAGCATCAACAAGAAAAATCAAATCATGACATAACCATAGAAATAATATTATATGGAAGTAACTTAGAGAGAGACGCGCGTTGCCAACACAGTGGGACAGAGATAGGGCTCTGTGGGTGGCAAAACATTGACGCGAAACTGCAGACTACTGTGTTTCTGGCGGTTTCTTTCGTGCTGTCGCATGGTATTTAAAGGTGTATTTTTGCAAATTTAAGTTTTTTAGGCTCAAGTTACCTTATTTAAATGACTACAGTCTTCTTAAGTTGTATTTTATCGGACTATTTGTTAAACATCGTGAAATCGTGTTGTGCGTATAATTGCAAAGAACGTACAAAGAAAGCAATCCTGTTTCATTTCATAGGTAATAATCACATATAGAGACGAAGGATTTCGTAATTATAATTTAAAAATTTTGTTAGATTCCTCGAACATTCCGAGTTACGAAAAAAAAGGATTGTTGCTACAAATTTTATATCTATTAATTATTGTTTTAATTATTTGTACCTGGATTTATAAAATAGATTTTACTAGAAAACTCCACACAATTTAATATGTTTAATTTAATTAGGCACCCTGTCACTTTTATCGAAAGTTTAATTAATTTTATCCTAAAAATTTCAGATTTACCAATGAACATACACAACAAGATTAGTTAACTTGTAAAAGATTATTGTATTAACTGAATTCGTAATATATTGTAGATTCTGTATACATTTCATTTTATTAAAAGACTATCTCCACCACTTAACATGATTTTTGTTGTTTCATATTACACATAATTTTAATGTAAACTGTAAAAATATAGTTTTCATTAACAAACGTTTGTTATAATTGATTGTTTGAACAAATTCGTAAGAGAACGTATTAATTCCCGTTCAAATGAAGCGTTTTTTGCCACCCAACACGTGCTACGTGGTCAGCCGTCCTTTTCCCACTGATGCATAACAACTCTTGCTATTTCTTGCTTGTGTTGATTACACTCGCTCGCGTACTACTAGTTACTGCTAAGATAAAACTGAATTTGGCAAATGACATACACTCTAAGAAAAAAGAGGGTGGGTGGGTGGGGTTAGTAAGTGCTAAGATAAGACTGAATTTGGCAAATGATATAGCCTTTAAGAAAAGAGAGGGCGGGTGGGCGGGTCTACTAACTGCTAAGATAAAACTGAATATGACAAATGATATACCCTCTAAGAAAAGAGAGGGTGGGTGGGTGGGGCTAATACTTGCTAATATAAAACTGATTTTGGCAAATGAGATACCCTTTAAGAAAAGTGACGGCGGGTGACTGGGATTAGTACCTCTTAAGACTGAGAATTTCCCAAAAATAGAACACGAAAATCCCCAAAAATTCTTTTAAATTATTTAAATTTCCCTGTCTTAAGAGGTACTAGCTCCACCCACCCTCCCTCTCCTCTCTTAGAGGGTATTTCATTTGCGAAAATCAGTTTTATTTTAGCAGGTAGTAGGTGGGTGGGGCTAGTAACTGCTAAGATAAAACTGGTATTGGCAAATGGTATTCTCTCGAAGAAACTAAAGGGTGGGTGGGCGGGGTTAGAGGATATGTCATCTGCAAAAATCAGTCTTATCTTGGCAGGTAGTAGCCCCGCCCACCCACCCTCTCTTTTCTTGGAGGATATGTCATTTGCGAAAATCAGTCTTATCTTATTAGGTACTAACCCTCTAACAAGATAAAGGGCGGATGGGCCGAGCTAGTGCTTGGCAAGATAAGGCTGATATTGGCAAATAACAAACATTCTAAGAAAATAACGGGCGGGTGGGTGGGGTTAGTACTTGCTAAGATAAAACTGATATTGGCAAATGGTATTCCCTCAAAGAAAATAAAGAGTAGGTGGGCGGGGTTAGAGGATATGTTATCTGCAAAAATCAGTCTTATCTTAGCAGGTACTAGCCCCGCCCACCCACCCTCTCTTTTCTTAGAGGGTATATGATTTTGCAAAAATCAGTCTTATCTTAGCAGGTACTAGCCCCGCCCAATGATCCGGGATCATTTTGCCTCAAGAAAAAGTGATCATTTCGCCTTAGGTAGCATATCCGCATTCAAAAATTGTAAACTAACCTTCAATTTTTACACGCGGTAAAAATATTATAACTAACCTACGACTGAAATGTATCTAATTCTGTCAAAACAACTACCACCGCTATAAGACCTTTCAAATGGAAGTAATGGACTTTTAAAATATATCTTACCTTAGATCAGAGGTGCTTATTTTACATATTTTGGCACAAAACTGTGCAGAATACACAGAACGCCATCAAACTTTCAGAAGGTACTAATTACAGAGCGCTTAATCAAATGACAGTTATGTTTGGTAGATGGAGCCACAAATTTTCTTACAATTGATGGGGATCATTTGACCTGAGGGGATCATTTTAGGCACTTTTCCCCTACTGATATATGCTGATGACCTGAAGATTTTCAGACGCGTTTCTAATATAAGTGACTGTGTGGAATTACAAAAGAACATTGATAGCTTCCTTACGTGGAGTACATCTAACTACATGCCAGTAAACTTTGACAAATGTCGTATCATGTCAATGACGAACAAAAATAATAAAATAATGTACGATTACACCATTAACTCCTTGCCGTTGTCTAAAGTTGAGTCCTTTTGCGACTTAGGGATTACTTTTGACCACAAATTAACATTCGCTGATCATATTGGTAACCTAGCTTCGGAAGCTTATAAGTGTCTTGGTTTTTTCCTTTGCTTTCGTGAGGTCGAAGCTGGAATGTGCAAGCATTGTGTGGGCCCCTTCTGCTCAAACCCACACTTTAGCTCTCGAAAAAACCCAGAGGCGTTTTCTAAAATTTTTTGTGTTCAAGGTTGTATAATATATTTCAAAGAAAAGTGTCCGAATTACAAAAGTTATACAAGGCACCACTGGTACGCCATATATTTTCTACGTCGTTCCGCTCAGCTGTTCCTTTTCTCTCTGCGCCGGTCCACGCCAGCGGCGCCAGCATCACGGGGGCCGGTCCAGTGGCGGCCACGTGGCGGCAGCGGTAACAGTCGGCTACGCTACCAGCCTCCGCGTCCCCGTGGAACGAGTTGCCCTAAAAGAAGAGGGACCAGTTAACAAACAAATTAGGCTAAATCTCGCCTCAACTATTCCCGAGTTAGTAACCCTACATAATTTATTCTAGACTTATAATAACATAACCTGTTGCTAGGGGATACTAAGACAGCAACGTAGTGATCTTAGAATTCCACTAGCTGACCTTATGACGAACAACCCTCATGGCTAGTCTCAGATTCTCCGTCGGATTCTGAACTAACTCTCACGTTGTAGGGCTTTAGCTTATCGAGGGAAACGACTCCTCTGTAGCTTCTCTGCGATCGAGAAGAACCTGTCATGTCCTCGACTACATAGCGATCATGTGTCAGGACTTCTGTAATGACAAAGGGCCCACTATACTTTGGCAGAAGCTTCTTGCTTTGGCCCTGGTTACTAGCAGCAATCGTTCGCAGTAGAACCTGTTCACCTTTCTTATACGTTCGCCCCGCACGTCGATGTGCATCGAAGGAAGCTTTGCGTTTGCTTTGATGGGCGTCTATACGAGCTTTTGCGTTCGCTCTCATTGCTTGGACGTCTCCTGCATTCTCTGGTTCAATTGCCACTTCGTTGGCCAGAAATGCAGTACCAGTGCTTCTTGGCACGCATCCGAACAGCAACTCGTACGGCGATTTTCCCGTAGACGAATTCGCCGTAGAATTCAGTCCCCATCGCACTGCCGAGACGGCTTCGTCCCATCTTTGTTCATCTTCCATAGATGACGCCAGTGAGGCTAATATCGTGCGGTTGTAACGTTCAACCTGACCATTTGCTCTCGGGGTTGCCGTTGCGTTCAAAACATGCTTTATGTTTAGAGTCTTGCAGTATTCCGTGAACTGCTTACTAGTAAAACAGCTACCTCGATCTGAGATGATTCTTCTAGGAACACCAAAATTGTCTATCATGCTATTCAAGAAGTTAACCACGAGTCGTGCCTTAGTTGATGGAACTGCCTTCATGAACACGAACTTTGTAAAAGCATCTACAAGCACTATTAAATATGCATTCTTTCGTTTCGACTTGACAAAAGGGCCCAGATGGTCAACGTGAAGTGTGTCAAAGGGCACCGCAATTTTCTCGATAGGGTGCATGTAGCCTGGCTTTTTCCCACCCATGTCTTTGTTGTACAAGCACGGTAGGCAACTCGATATATACTTCTTGACGTATCTACGCATTCCAGGAAACCAGTATGATGCCGGTATGGCCGATATCGTCTTCATATCTGCCAAGTGGCCATTCTCGTCATGGAAATGCGAGACGACGTTCCGTCTTGCCGTTTTAGGCACAAACCACTTATTCCCGTTGTTTGTAATCTTATACAGTCTATTGTTGATAAGACGATAGTTTGCATGTATATCTCGTTCTTCCTTATCCTCTGGCTTCCGTTGCAGAGTCTCGTTAAGGTACTTGCACCTATCGTCCAACATCTGAGCGGTTAGAACCCAATCATCTTCGTTGATGTTTACGGCACCTGCAATCGTTACTTCTAAACCGACAGGGTTTCTGCTCAAAGCATCAGCGTGTGACATTTTGTGTCCCGGACGATATTCGACGTCAAACGTATAATCTTGGATGCTTAGCCACCATCTTCCAATTCTAGGGACCAAATCACGCTTCGATAGAGTGGCGCGAATCGCGCTACAATCCGTCACAACCTTAAATTTCAGACCAATCAAATATATTCTAAATGCTTTCAATGTATACACCACTGCCATTGTCTCTAACTCGTATGAGTGGTATCGTTGTTCTTCCTTCGTAGTCTGTCTGGAATAATATAGTACTGGTCGAACAGTACCGTCCCTTTGCCTTTGTAATAGAATGCCACCTATTCCCCATTTGGATGCGTCAGTGTGAACCTCCGTCGTCAATTGCGGGTCGTAAATCGCCAATAGAGGTCGTGATGTTAATGACTTTTTGAGGGCGTCAAAAGCTATCCGTTGTTCGTCACCCCATGTGAAAACAGTGTCCTTTTTTGTTAGGATTGTTAGCGGTTTAGCGATTCTAGCGAAATCTCTAACATACTTTCTGAAATAACTAGCCAAGCCAAGAAACTGTCTGACACCGCGTACATCAGTCGGCGTTGGGAAATTCTCGACTGCGACTGTCTTTGCTTTCCCTGGTCGTATGCCTTGGCCACTAATCTCATGTCCTAAGTATTCAACTTTTTCCATAAAAAACTGGCACTTGGCCGGGCGTAAAGTAAGTCCAGCAGTGCGAAGTGACTGTAAGACCAGTCTTAGATTAGCCATGCCACTTTCGATGTCTTCTGTCGGCAGCAATATGTCGTCCATATAGGCTAGCGCCTTCCCGTAACGCAAATTTCCCAAAACCTTGTTTATAGTTCTTTGGAACACAGCTGGTGCGTTACACAATCCAAATGGAACTCTGAGGAATTCGTAGTGACCGTCTGGAGTGACAAAAGCCGTTTTAGGAACAGAAGAAGCTTCTATTTGCAATTGGTGGTATCCGCTGGCCAGGTCCAGACTTGTAAAGTACCTACATCCTTTTAATTTTTCTACGAATTCGTCAACGTGTGGAAGAGGGAACCTGTCCTTTACTGTTTTGGCGTTTAAGGCTCTGTAGTCGACGCACATACGCTGCTCACCGTTTTTCTTCTTCACGAGGACTATAGGGCTCGAGTAAGGCGAATCCGATTCTTGGATGATCTCATTTTCGAGTAAATCTTTTACGATGTCTCTCACAACTTGGCGTTCATTGTGAGAGAGACGATATGGCCGATAGACCACAGGATTGTCATCCTGAAGATGTATCGACATCTTCAACACGTCGGTTTTGCCTAGATGTTTAGTGGTTGACGCAAAACAATCGCTAAATTCGTTTATTAAACTAACTAAATCACGGACCTGCGTTGGCGTGAGATGTTGATTGTATATCAGATTATGGAAATCGAAAACATCGACTACATCAACGGATTGTGTCGCTAACGGCAATGCAGTTGTTACTTTTGACACCGGAGACGACTTTTCCTCAAAACAAACTACAGACCTAACTAAGATTGTTTTGGGACTTACCTCGATATGCCGGTACGAAAGATTCGTGATGGCGACGTAGCCATCCTCCCTTTCGTAATACATTCGTGTACGACGTGTTCTCCATCAGGCAGCGGTCGTAAGCCACCTCTTACGTATACGTCGTCGGCACAGGCACCTCGAGAAGTCACGGCGACGAGAGCCGTTGTTCTCGGTTCTAACACGATTGATTCCTTTGCCCATAAAGGAATTTTCCTGGGAGGAACATCGAGAGTTTCGCACAAGTCACTTCCTCTTCGGGTAACTCGTACGGTCTGTCCAGAAACAATCATCATGATCTCATCTTGATTTAAGAAAGTTTGGCCCACCATTACAGGAATTTCTTGAGCAGTATTGGGTACTATCAGGCTCTCAACTTCAGCCTCTGCACCATCTATCTTGAGTTGGATGGTCAGTTTTCCGAGAGTTTTCGTGGCTACTCCGCCGTAACCTATTACATATTTCGTGCAGGGACTGCGTTCCATGTTCAGCATGTTGGCGGTATCTTCCCGGATTAGAACAGCGCCGCACCCCGAATCAACATATGCCTGGGAGGGCGTTTCATTAACCCAGCAGTCAAAAAAGTAACTACTGTTGACGGGTGCCAAGTCTTTCTCAAGGACAACTTGATTTTTGATGGACTGCCTGCGGCAATCTTTTGTAAGGTGGCCCAACCGCTTACAACTGGAACATTCCACTTTGGGTTTCGGACACTTATCGGCAAAGTGACCCTCATCCCTACAGTTATAGCATTTTGGGGGTCTTCTAGCCGGTGGTTTCGCCTTTTTTGGAGGCGGCTCATTCGATCGCTCCCTTTCGCTCAAAGGACGGCGATGTGGAGTTGTAAACGCAGTTTTCGCTACAGTCGTGCTCGAGACGGACTTTTCAGGTTTTAGAACAGAGATATATTCAGCGTAGAGCCGGTCTGGGCTCGTATATCTACCTGCTCTGGCCCCTGCTTGGACGCTTGGATCTTCAATACCATCAATAATACACGACACGGCTCTATGTCCATTAATATCGCAAGCATTTGTAAGTTCTACCTTGTCACAGTAATATCTTTCCCATGATTCTGTAGGCAACTTCATCCAATTTACGAGGGCACGTAACGTAGTGGCGAAATCTCTGTGTTCAGGGAAGGATTTTACGAGCAATTTCTTCCACTCTTTCCAACTCAGTCGATATGTTGATAAATTATCATACCAGCGTCGAGCTAATCCACTTAGACGACTCTGCATTAAAAATATCATGGTTGGCTCATCCCACTTATTAATTTTTGCCAACTGTTCGATTTTTGCGATCCATTTCGCTGAACTCAAATTTGGATTTCCAGGCGTGAACTCGGGTATACTTTCCGGTTTTATAGCAACCCTAATTCCACGATGGTGTTTGTCTTTCGCCTTTGTTTGGTGCTTAATCAACTTTTCCACCAACGCTTCTAACCTGCTCACAGTATCGTTGGATTTTGGTAACGGGGGTGTATTTGATGGCGTATATGACTTATGGTCGCTGCCCCGGCTCGTACCAGGTGCGATTAAGTTTCGGGACGCTTTGGAAGGTGATCGAGTACGCTTCTGTCTGCGCTTGTAGTTCCCATCCGCTGAACTCGATCTGGAGCTCGAGCTACTGGAGTAACTATCACGATCCATCGCATTCACATCACTCCCGAACTCTCACAGAAAAGCACAAGGGCTATCCCACCGCTGCCCTATAATATATTTCAAAGAAAAGTGTCCGAATTACAAAAGTTCTACAAGGCAACACTGGTACGCCATATTATTATCTACGTTGTTCCGCTCAGCTGTTTCTCTTCTCTCTCTGCGCCGGTCCACGCCAGCGGCGCCAGCATCACGGGGGCCCGGTCCAGTGGCGGCCACGCGGCGGCAGCGGTAACAATTGATTAATTTTTTTGAGTCACCCTGTATATGCAAATCCAAAAAAAAATCAATGGAGTGATAAATCACAAGTACAGACTCATCATATTTTGTACAGTTTAGATAGGATTTATTCGGCAAAGTTTCAAGCTGACGTCATCAATTTTTTGGAGGGGATAAGCAAATGTATTTTGACTAAACATTTATTATGCTCTTTATAACCTTAAAACATCTGCAAGATTTCAAAGCATTCGGTTTTGTAGTTTCTGAGTAAATCAGTAAAATAAATTTACGCATTCATTAATTTTTTTGAGTCACTCTGTATATGCAAATCCAAAAAATATGAATGGAGTGATAGATCACAAGTACAGACTCATCATATTTTGTACATTTTAGATATGATTTATTCCACAAACTTTTGAGCTGACGTCATCAAGTTTTTGGAGGGGATAAGCAAATATTTTTTGACTAAAGATTTATGATGCTCTTTATAGCCTTAAAACATCTGCAACATTTCAAAGCATTCTGGTTAGCAGATTAAAAATTAAATTTCAAAATGTTGTTTTATAATTTTGATTTTTTTTCCAAAAATCTGGACGTTTCGGGTGAAAAGTCGATTCGGAGTTGTAAACTACATGTGTAGGACTATGTTATTTTATACAATTGAAAACCCATTTACTATGTACAATTTTGAAGTGACGTCATCGCATTAGTGGTGGGGATGATTAGACAAATTTTGGTTAGCGTTTTACCATCTACATGATATTCTTAATATACGTACAAAACTTCACAACAATCGGTCGAGTACTTTCGGAGATTATCTGTCTAATAAAAATCCGGGACGGCAGACGGACAGACGGACAGACGGACAGACGGACGGACAGACGGACGGACAGACGGACAGACGGACAGACAGACGGAAATGGGAGACCTATTGCTTCGTCTTCTAGGGGTCATGAAAGATCGAGAAAACGTAAAAGTAGAGAGTCGGCCGACGGACTCGATTACAATACTTCCTTTGCTTACGCTCGGGAAGTAAAAAATTGGTCTAAAGAGTTTAGACAGTACTTCCCTCGCTGTCGGAAACTTGACGACTGCATGCCTATTGTGTTTTTTTTCTCATTACATTTTTGTAGTGGGAATTTAAAAAAAAATAGCGATGACGTCATCAACATTTTTGCAAGGACACGTATATCAGTTGGGATAGATGTAGTGTAATACTAAGAAAAAATTATTATATTCTCAAATTTTCGGGAAAATGAATTGGGTCGTTTTGAATATTGATTTGTAATAATCAATAAAATAACGAAACAATTTACTCACGTATACGTATCAGAGGCAACTGAAAATCGTGTATGTATAAACATTCTTAATTTAAGATGACAGGCGTAACAGCATACGTGAGAGTCAAACAGAGAAACTGTAAACAAAACGACCATCGGTTTTATTGCTTCGACTTCCGCTTATTATATAAAACATTGGGTTTTATTTTAATTCTTGACGGTGAAATTCACAATTGGTTGATTATAAACATGGCTATTTCACATTCGAGGAACCAAGTGAGCGCATAAAACAAATGCAGGTCTGTAATGTTAAAGTCGATGTAAATAAGCGTGCTACCCTTATGTTTCAACCGAGTTTTTCCTTTAACAAATTTTGTGTCTACCAAATTGGGTTGGTTGGGATGTAATACTAATAATAAGTGTTGCCTTTAATTTAATCAATAAAATAAATTGACTTAAGGTAAATTAAGGGTAGGAAGTGTTTTTAACAACTAAACCACCCCTAATGTAGGATTGGGTGCGGTTTTTAGAAATTTGTACATTTGGGAGACAACTTACCTCCTCCGAGTACGAAAAAATAGGTCTCCTTTTTCCCGTTTCCGTCTGTTTGTCTGCTACTGTGTATTAGGAATATCGTGTAGGTGGAAATGTTATGCCTCAGCGCAACTTGTTACACTTTTTCAAATGAAACGCAGCACAAACACTACTAACAGGTTTTATTAACTGAAGACAATTTTAGGATCTTTACACAGTAGTCGATAGCGCAATCACTTTGTATCACAATAACTTTCCGCAACAAGACTTGACTATATTCTTAATGATTAGAACAGCAGAGCTTCCTTATATATCCAAATTACAACAAAGAAAGTACATGGTTCAGTTTAAATGGAAAACAAGAAAGATCAAAATCCATCCGGATGTTTGATATTGACAAATTGGTATAATTATTGAACTAATGCATCAGAAGAGATAAAAACATTATTAGTTGCCTACATTAGCCTACAGATTTGGAATAACATATTATAATATTACTTGATTAATAATTGATTAATGACATAAAAAATAGGGGTTGTTAACAGAAATACGCTAACTAAAATTTAGATAAACATCCCCACCAACGGACTATTATACTGCATTTATCCAAACTGAAATACCTAAGCTTGGAAAAATGTTGATCATGTCATCACAAAATTTTATAATAGAAAAACTCACGCGTACCATGTTTCTTTACATTTATTTTAAACACTACATACATATTTCTATTTTAACTTGTAAGGGTTATGATGAAAAAACAAAAATTTTATAATTTTTTAAAATTGCTGGATATGTTTCATGGTACTTCAGGAGCGAGGGAAGTCGCAAAAAGTGTTTATAATTTTTCAAAGAAGCGGGATTTGTTGGGACGTGCTACAGGGGCGAGAGAAATTCTGTGGAAGCAACCTTCGACCAATTATTTTTAAGTTAACTTCATTTTATTTTCCCGAACATTATAACGATATAATTATAATGAGAAATCACAAGTATTCCAAGTTTCCTATGAGTTGTCAGATTTTTATATTTATACAAATCAGATCTATAAATCTGATAACTCCTCCAGATCATTCACATTAGCTCTCCCGAAAGGCAAGTTAAATTTTTATATCATTCATCCATGAATCCTACCCTGGTCACTGTTTCGAATTTCGCACTACTCCCATTTTTATAACTGAGTTATCACTGCAACAATAAAAAAATCGTCTCTGATTAATTTTTTAGATTCATGGCTCACGTTACAGCACTGGAGCCTCATGATGTAAGGCACACCGTCAGCCTTAACAAAGCGAAGAATTTGATTCTTGGATTAGCGAAACCGTTGTCGGACATTTTTCAGCTCTTACAACAAAAGATCGTGGAACTCCAAAACAAGGAGGAAGAATCGGAGAAAACAGACTTAAACATCACTGAACTGAGAAAAAAACTACATAAATCGACCGTCGATTTGGAAATAGTTCCTCTCAAACACTCGGTTTTGGTTTGTACAAATCAGAGTTGTGTACATTCCGTCATGGTAAGAAACATCTCTGTTGGCTACATCTTCTGACTGTGCGTACAAGTAACACACTTTCCAGGTCGGAAACACGACAAGGAGTTGTTATAAAACGAAATGTCTGGAACCGTGTTGGACAGGAATAATTAACTACGAAAAACTAGGACACTGGACTCTAAGGTTTTGCAATCAAATTGATTTTATTGGTTTTATTTGTAAATACTGCAAATGTTCTGGTTCGAAGCACATGACTATCTATTACGAAACTAGAATTGTGGAAAAGCAGATCGTGGACGAAAGTGTGCAGACGAATATTACAAGCGAAGAAAAACAGCGCGAAGAGCTAAACGAACTCATCAAGAGCTTGGTGCAGGAAAAGCAAGAACTCATCGAGGAGAAGCAGTACATCAGCCACTGCGCTGCCAAGTTTGCACACTTTTTGGAAAAGAATGTCATCACGACTGCGTACGATACTTACAGGGAGTACCTTAACCTATCACTTGAAAGGTATTTACTTTCTTCCGTTTCCTACCGAATGTCTTTTTTCTTATTTTCTCTATGTCGACGAAGGTCGTTATAAACTACTTCCGCTCAATTTTTTTTCTAAAACTATTAATTAATTGTCTTTTCAGACAGAGGAGTCTTGGAAAGGAAGCTAATTTCAAAGTCGTTTACAACCTAGAGAGCGCTTTAAAAAATCACGACCAATTAATAAAGTTTCTTAACGAGAATAAGAAACTTCCAGACGGCGAAGAGATCACTGCCAAAAGCATAGAAGATGATACTGAAAAACTTTATAAGCTGAAGCGCATGGGGCCTAAGATTAAAGAAATTGTCGATGCAAGAACAAAGTGCGTTCAGAATGGAATTCAAGCAAACTTCAAGTCTATTATCACTAAAAACATTCAACCCTGGTTAAGTAAAGTGATGTCTTATGTTCAGAACTCGGACACGATAATTGAAGGTTTGATACGAGTGGGGAATGGAGGACCTACAGGGAGCACACACTATTCCGACTGCCATTAACAGTTTTTTGCACACGTTATGTTGTTATCACTTATTATATTGTTTTCAAAATAACTGGAGTTTCATTTCCGTTTGTTTGATTTTTACTTCCCGAACGTAAGCAAAGAAAGTATTGTAATCGAGTCCGTTGTCCGACTCTTTACTTTTACATTTTCTCGACCTATCATGACCCCTAGAGGACGAAGAAATAGGTCTCCCGTTTCTGTTTGTCCGTCTGTCCGTCTGTTTGTCTGTCTGTCTGTCTGCCGTCCCAGATTTTGATTAGATAATCTCTGAAAGTACTGGGCCGATTGTTTTTATATTTATATTAGTACTAGCTGACCCGGTGAACTTCGTTTTACCTACAATTTAATTTTGAATCTGCAAAACCGAATGCTTTGAAATCTTGCAAATATTTTAAACATATGATAAGCATAATACATTTTTATTCAAAATATACAGGGTTAGTCACGAGAAAATTATTTCTGAAAATTCTTTTTACGCAACTCAAAATACTAATACCGTATACCACTTGATACTAACTGAATTTAAAATGAAAAGCTTAATCCATGATTGCTTTGACTTTGGCACTTTTGGCAGTGTCACTTTGACAATTCCGGAAAGGAGGTGTTGCTTGTGCTACAATGTCGTCGGTACGCCTATGTCTTTAGTACGCCTATGTCGTCCGCGTAGTGACGGTAAAAACTTCAAAAGGTGTCTACAAACGCGGTGTGTCCAAAGTGTGTGCGCTGCCAATAGATGGCCAATAAAAATACTGTGCCCGCGAAATGTCAAAGTGCTATTGTGTAGTGAAGTGCGTATAATTGACCCTTTTCCTGTAAGATCGTAAAACTTCCATAGTGACTTTCCGTGCGCACGCATGTTCAAAACCACGTATCCGGCACTCCGGCAGCAGAGCAAAGGCCTGTGACAACAAACCGCTTTGACAGAATGCAACCAGCTACACATGCGTAATCTATCGCTCATTGGTTAATTTTAACTTGGCGCTCCAAAAATCTGACTTCGCCTGCGCGATGTTGTCTCACTCTGTATCATTGGAATTTATATAATGTCTACTCACTTTGCTTACAGGAAAAGGGTCAATAACGACCTTTGTGGCTCTTGTGCTGTGCGTACTCACTCAGACTTACATTTTTATCTGTTTAAATTTACGTTTCTGGATTTTGTACACTTAATGTTATGTTCAAGTTTATGTTTGCCTCTTAATTTGTACATATGTTGTTGGATTCAAATGGATGCTTATTTTTACGTACAGTGAAACCTGTCTATGCCGGACTCTGTAGAAGGCGGAAAACTGCTCATCGCGGAAATTTTCCGCAGTCCCGTTTTTTCAAATACCCAATTTAATGTATTTTGGTCCGTATAAGCCGGAAACTGCATAACGCGGAAACGGAAAATATTTGTAAGTCCCAAAGTGTCAAAATACATGCACCCAACTCTGTGTAAAACGGAAGCGAGAACAAAATTGATGATTTCTGCGAAAAACATGTTATTCAATTCGTAGACCTGCAGGTGCATTTTTTGTCAACACAAAGTTACTGTTCTCAATTCTTATTTGATTAGTGTGTTTCGTGGTTGTATGTGTGTTCGCAATAGCCCAAAACAAGACCAACAACAACAGGAAAATGGATTTAATTAATGTACACGAGCCGCAAAATTTGAGTGTTAAAGAACTTTGCAGCAAGTTCGCTTGAAAAAAAAGCAAGTGTATCAAATTATAAAACATAAAATAAATTAGAGAAGAATGGCAAAGTGGTGAGCGTGTAGCCAACCTTTTACAGTTGAGAACAAGTATTGAAAATATATCTCAAAGGACAAAGAAGCAAAGAATAATAAACGACTATTTCCAATAATTCTTTTATATGGACCTATGTATTCAATTAAATAAAAATTGATTTCCGTTTTATAGAGGTTTACTTTCCGTCATAGGCGGGTTTCCTGTAAAAGCCGGAACCCTGTTTAAGACGGATCAAAATTCTGGACCCGCGCGATTCCGGCATAGACAGGTTTTACTGTATATTATTTGACGTGTTGTTAGTACTCAAATTCAATTTCTTTTAGCGCATTCCAATCAATGTCATCTCTTGTGTATTTAAAATATGGTACTGTCTGATATGCACTACAGGTTTTCTATGGTTTGTCATCAATCTGTGTGTGTTCTTATTTTTATATTGCTAGTCTAAAATGAACAATTGTAATGTGAATTGTATGCCTAGAGGCATTCAAGGGCGGCGGCATGTTGCGTGTGCTACAATGTCGTCGGTACGCCTATGTCTTTAGTACGCCTATGTCGTCGGTGTGTCAAAGAAATGTTGCAGCTGCAGGTCTGCAGCCACCCCTTTGACCCGGTTGACCCGTAAAAAATCATTGGGTTTCGATTCGGGGGCGACTTCTTATGTTACACCGACACAGTTAGTTTTTAAGTCAGTCGCTATTAAGTTTTGTCCGGAACATCTAGCACACGGGTGCGCTGATGTAATAATCAATTTTCAATAAAACTGTGTGCCATACACAATTGTTTATAATCTCCCCTCACCGCTACACACCAGGAGGTTACGCGAGTGTCCATGGTCGTACCGTAGCCACTCGGAGATAGACTACGCTGGCGCCGCTAATAAATTTGTTAGGACTTGCTTCGAGTACCTCTTGATCTTTTGCAATGATACAGATTAGTTATGAGAGAATTATTTCTAAAAATTACTTTTACGATATTTTATTCAAAGGATACAACGTAAACTTGAAAGAGTAATTAAATAATTTAACTACTGCAACAACTGTTGAAAATGTTGGCATGTTGGAGAGATGCTACGGCGTTTTTGTAAATGGGTGGTCGAAGAGGTCCAGAGGCTACAGATTTGTACTTCGAAGAGGCTCTAGTTGACGCAGAGATGGCGAACTAACACATGCCCATTAGCGGGGAAAAATATTGCTAGAGCACTTACGGCTTCAGAAGAGCGCAGATTGAGAGACGTACCTACGTCGATCCAATGGGGTTGCAGAGCAGAGTAAACGATGAAGAAAAATGTTAAAAATGAACTAACGTCAAACGGACACTGTCAAAGTTAAAGCAATCATGGATTAAGCAATTCATTTTAAATTCAGATAGTATCCAGTGGTACGGGATATTAGTATTTTGGGTTGCGTAAAAATAATTTTCAGAAATAATTTTCTCGTGACTAACCCTGTATTTACTTATCCCCTCCAAAAAATTGATGACGTCAGCCTAAAATGTTGCCAAATGAATCCTATCTAAAATGTCCCAAATAGGATGAAACTATACTTGTGATTTATCACTCCATTCATATTTTTTAGTTATGCTTATAGGGGGTGTCTCAAAAAAATTAATCACTGAGTCAATTTATTTTATTGATTGAATCAAGCATTGCAAGACTGAATTTTGAAATATTGTAGACGTTTGGAAGTTACTGTTTGACATGGTACGTTTTTAATCAAAATATATCTGTTTATCAAGCTCAAAAAGTTGATGACGTCATCTCAAGATTTTGCCGAATAAATACTATCTAAAATGTGCACAATATCATCAGTATATTTTCGTAATTTATCAGTGCATTCATATTTGTTGGATTTGCTTTTACAATGACTGAAAAAAATATTTGGATCAGTCAATTTATTTTAGTGAATAACTCAAGAGTTGCAGAAATGAATACTTTGAGATCTTGCAGACGTTTTAAAGTTATTGTAAACATGGTAAATTGTTAAGAATATTTATTTATTCCCCCCAAAAATTGATGGAATGGCTCACTCGATTTTCGCAGATAATTTTGGGAATACTATATAGTTATTTTTAGTATTACACTGCACCAATCCAAGGTGGTATACGTGTTGATCGTAAATGTTGATTAGGTCATCACAAAATTGCAGTGGCGGCTGGTGACCTTTTGAAATGGGGGGACACAATTTGATTGATGAGTTAAATATGAAGAAATAAAACAGGTTGTCATTACCAATTAATAGACGAAATTGTGTGACGGAAATAAATACAAAAATACATTCAATAAAAATTAAAAAGGATTTCTCCACATACCTTTTTGCCTTCGGTGTTCATGGCATCTAAAAGTTCATTTTGGACAGTTTTAGGCATTCCTTTAAAAACCGTTGCTTCTTTCAAATGATCTGATAAAGTCGAATTCAGCCATAAAATCAATCAGACCTCGAAATATATCTGGATTTTGTGATTCCCTACTTTCGTCATGTCCACGTAAAGCAAATTCAAACACTCCACAAAATTTTATGCACATTATCAATCGGCGTAATATATGGCGATTTTTGTCGACCCTTGCGTTATGTGCCCGAATATTATTAATATAAGCGGTGTGCAGTTGTTTCCGAATGTCTGTATTACCGAGAAGATTATCCAAGAATGTTTATCATACGTGTTCGCGCAGAAGGAAAATTAAAACCCGCAGTAGTAACTCAATCCTCCAGAGCACGATGGCAATGGGCTCACAAGCCAGTTGTATCAGGCGCATATCAAGCGCCCACGACGTGTACTTTCCATTGCATTTGATACATTTTATACAAGTGGAGCGAGATAAAAAAATTAGTTTTGATAATTATGACACAAATTTCCGGATAATTTTTTAAATATTGAAAATTACTATTTTGCTATGTCCAGTGTGTTTGTAGACGTTGTAATTTTGGGGGGGCACGTGCTCTTGTGCCCCCCGGCACCAGCCGCCCCTGCAAAATTGTGTGAAGAAAAGACTCAACTCGAAAATACTGAATATGTTTCATTATACTTTTGGTGCGAAGGAAGTTCTGTCGAAACAACGTTCAATTTTTTGATAATGGTTGATATAAATAAAACTCAGTGGATGGTCATACTCGAAATACGAAGTATCTACTCGAATATCAAAATATTTCTAGTTTTTCTAGATCAGTGTTTTTCAATCTTTTTGATTTCGCGACCCCTTTACAGGTTGAAAAATTCTGGCGACCCCCTTGTGTCTGGATTCTTCTGGATTCTTAAATTATGGGGGCTGACCGTAGCCAGCCGGCACTTAGGCCTCGCCTTTGGGCCCATTGTACCTTCC